TCGAGCCATTCACCACCACAGGCACAGCCAGCATTGAGCCGTGGAGCTGTGGCTGGAGATCACTGTGCATGAACCGTCCCTGGGCTGCTCGGTCAAGCAGCGCTGTGCTGCCCATCCATTTTCTCCTCATCCTCAGGGGGATATTTTATAAAAGCTCACCCCATGCTACAGGGAGTTACCCACGTTTCACTACAGGACAAGTTCTTTGAAGGCTCCATCTCGGGTTTGTCTCCATATGCTGCAGTTAAATAAATATTGACTGACTCCCACCAGCCAAAGTGCTGCTCCTGAGTAATATGTAACTTAGGGAAGCAACGTTCATGGTTCCCTGTGAAGAACTGGTTCACTCTTGCCACATACTTCTGCAAACCTGCTCCAGGCCAGCTCCAGGAAAAAGTGTTTCCCACTAACATCATCTTTCCAGCTACGGCAGAACTGGGCTAGAAAAAGGCAGAGTTTTCTGGGCTTTTTTAAGTATCTTCTGCTCCTGAGTAATATGTAACTTAGGGAAGCAACGTTCATGGTTCCCTGTGAAGAACTGGTTCACTCTTGCCACATACTTCTGCAAACCTGCTCCAGGCCAGCTCCAGGAAAAAGTGTTTCCCACTAACATCATCTTTCCAGCTACGGCAGAACTGGGCTAGAAAAAGGCAGAGTTTTCTGGGCTTTTTTAAGTATCTTTGGAGCAAAATTCAGCTCTTTGCAGTTTTCTGAGCCATTAATTGGAGGTGAATGAACTTCTGGAAACCTTTGGGTTCCTTTCCAACCCAGGGAGCGACTTTATTTAGTGTGTCACATTTCCTTTTGTGCTATCATAGGCAAATCGCTGCTCTCACGCACTGCTTGGCAGGGCTCAGCATCACTGAAATGCATCCAGATGAAAACCCTGCCTCCTACAGAGCAGACCCAAGCTGGGCTGCTGATGCCCTCCTGAAGGGCAATACCGGGTGCTCACCTTGCAACATTTGGCTCGTGAGAGCCGCAGGCTGCAGTGGAAGGAATCCTTGTCTACAGTGATAAGTACTGCCCTGGCCCCAGAGCTCTCCTGGAGGGACAGCAGGTGTGTGGGACAGGCCATCCCACCACATAGTGTCTCCTCTAGAGGGACAGGAATTGCCACAGCTATTCCACTCTCCAGAGAAGGGTTGGTCATTCCCAGTTTTGCATTGCAACAACCTCCGCAAGTTTTCTTGCTCTCTTTTTCATTCCTGGGCTGTCCCAGGCACGGAATGTAGCCCAGGAGAAGATTTCTTCATCTACGCTGGTGAGATCAAGGTGGCACAAGCCTTTTGCGGTGTGGGGTTGGACAGACCTGGGTTGACCTGAGGTCCTTGCATCAGACCCATCTTCCTTGAAACTATTTGCTTTTGGAGGGTGTCACTGGTCTGAGGGGGAGTCCTGGGGTGATGTCCACTCTGCCCCATGTGGCTAATATCCTTCAGGATCAGAGATCTAGAAAGGACGTAAAAGTCTTGAGGCATCTTCTGGAGTTCTCCCACCACAATAAAATCTGACTGTCTACTCACCCGGAAGAACTCCCTGAAATCCACTGAACAGAAGGTAAAGACTCAGAAAAAACAGAGGAGACAGGAACTGGACTGGCCACAGCTGTGGGAGACAGAGGGGACACAGAATAGGTCCATCCTTTCAGAGGGATTCAGATGGGGCTCAGGCTCATCAGAAAACTGGCTGGAGCAGCTCCATCATCACCAACTCTAAACCTCGGGTGGATTCATAAAAATGCAGCTGAACTGGGGAGCAAAGTGCTGCAAACCACTTTCCCATCCTCTGTCCACCCCCACAATCACCACAGTCTGTTGAAAGAAGACCACAGCAAAAGGTAACCACCCAACCGGCTGCTCAACAGCCAGGCGGGCGCTGGGCACGGCTCTGAGCCTCGCACCACCTGTGGCAGGGCAGGGGCTAGGGAAGGCTACCAGTGTACAGGCAAGCCCAGCCTGAACCCAGGGTCCAGGGGCTGGGGAGGTTCTGGCCGCTGAACTCTGGGTTGCTTCCCAGCTTGGCTCACCAGGAGGCTGCAGGTGCTGAGAAGACCAGTAGGAACTGAAGGCTGAGTTTGAGAGCAAGGGATTTTTTGGGTGAGCACCCACAAAGGCACATTTCAGAGCATGTTTCCTGCAAACGAGGTGATCAGTTCCTCAAAGAAACTACGCCCCAGCACGTCCCTCCAGCCCTCTAGTAATTAATCCAGGGCTGATCCTGGGCTGGCAAAGAGCAGATTCTCCCCCAGGCCCCGGAGGATGATAATGCACAAAGAAAAGATTAGTTATTTATCTGCGTATTGTTCAGACAAGGGGGAAAAACTGTCTCCTGGAACAGGCAGACCCTTGCCATTGGGAGGGAACAGCACACACTGGAACAGACGGCTTGCACAGTGCTGTCTGCCGCGCGTTTACAAGTGGCAGATCGGATAAGGTTAGGAAAGAGGACCACGGGACCGTGCTGGGCAGCCTCCTCTGCCGTGTGTTTGCTGTTTGTGAGATGCACACTGCGGGTGGCAGGCAGGAGGATGGAGACTTCTACCACCTGGGATTCCTTGGGCCGCAGAGGCGAGGTAAGTAGTGTCCCCCCTTCCCTCTGGCCATCACCTCACTCATGGCAGAGCGGTGGTGGGGCAGCCCAGGTGTCAGACAGGCGCTGGGTGCCCCAGGTTTGGCAAGGAGATTGGGGAGGACACTCCTGGTACACTCTGGCATCCCCTGGAGCTAAGGCCATCTCCAGCAGGTACCTGCAGGTGGGCACTGCTCCAGTCCCTGACACCGACCTCATGGCCAACAGTCCTGTCTCAAGATTTGGCACCCTCTGCGTGGCCAAGAGATGGGGCAGGCAGCTGCCAGCCCGCAGGTCGTGCAGTGTTCGTGTCTTGGGATGGCTTTCCCAGTGCCAAGGGCTCCCTGGATGTTCCACCTCCCCCAGACTGTTTGCCAAGCACGCACAGACCAGAAAGGCAGGAGAGGAAAGATGTGCCCAGTGTCACACAGCAACCTGGGACCAGCAAGCAGCAGTCCTGGATCCCACAGGGTGATACTGAGACAAGCCAGGAGCTCTGGGAAATTTTGCCTTATTTGGGGATTCATCACTGACTTGCTTTGGTTCCCATTTTTGGGATGGGCAGTGGCACAGGTTGTCTGACTTGTGGCTTTCCAGCGAGATCTGCTTTTTGGAGGTGTTGCAAGGGTGATGTATTTTTGACACTCTGGACAGTCCCGTGCCTCAGTTTACCTATAAAGAGAGGGTAACCTGCAATGTTTCCAGGCTGTCACCAGGATGTCAGGGCCCGTGTCCTACAGACTTCGCTGGGATCCTTGCATGACGGATGCTGCCCAAAAGTGGCAGAAGATGCCCCACTTCTCAAATCAAAGGAGCGCAGCCCGTCTGCAGTCTGGGTCAGGACCAGACTTCCATCCTTTAGGCAGACCGGGTGTGATGCACCTACACCCGGACTGATCACAGCGCATCCCGGCGGCACGTCCCTTCCCTGGAGGGCTCAGACACACACGGTGCAGAGACCCCCTCAGATCCGCTCCAGGAGAGGCAGAGGCAGGGCAATGGCAGGGCCATGAAACGGTTAAAGCAGTATCCTGTGCTCCCTCCCGATTGTTCTGCAAGGTGTGTTGTGACATTTGTACTTCCTCCTGGCAGCCTGCGAGCAGAGGCAGCAAGGGAGAGACTGCTGGGATGCTGCCGGCCCCTCTGCCCCCGTCCTGAGGGTCTCTGCTGGGGGGGTTCTGCCATGACCGTCTTCAAGCTTGTTGGCCGATGTGCTATGATATTCCTCCTGGCTGTGCTGTGTGATGTGATCGGGCTGATCATCCTCTTCCTGGGCATTTTTGCTCCCCTAAGCTCCTGGGACTTCTTCGTTTACTTGGGAGCTCTGCTGCTCGCCTTCAGCCTCCTCTTTTGGACTTTTTGGTACACGTTCAACATCGAGGTCCCCTTTAGGGAGCTGGGTTTTAACTAATCTGTGGCTCCAGCAAAGCCGAAATGGAAACTTGCGCTTGGAGGAGGAGCATCACATGCTGGGAAGCTCCAAAGCATCATCCACTTGGCGAAGAGCATCCAAAAAGACCAAAGGGAAGGGCCTGCTGGTCCCTGCAGCATCGATCAGCAAGATGGACCCTCAGGGGAAAGGTACCTACAGCTTAGCATGCACAGCGATGCTTTGCTAGTGTTGGGGAACACAGACGTCTTGGCAGGGCAGCCAGACCCTCCTGCTGATGACAGTCACTCCTCAGGAGTAACATTAGATTTTAAAATGCTCTGGAATGGATTAGTGATGACCAGGAACTTGGTTTTGATGAGATGAGCCTGTCTGAATGAATCTGGGGAGGGGGATTTTGGTGGCAATCGGAGGTGGCTAGCATCTGGAGTTTATTTCCTCAGTTCTTCCCATGAGACAATGTTGTGATTTGAGGGTCCTGGAAAGCCACTGCTCTCTCATGACAGCTTTTGGTAGCAGAGGCACCGGGAGCGTGAGCCATCTCCCAGCGATACAGCCTGGGCAAATAGAGAAAGTCAATAAAAATAATTCGGATCCAGGCTGTCACTTAGCATGAAAACCTCTATGTAAATGGCGTGTGAGTAAACCTGGCTGCTTGTTGGCATACCCCCACCACACCAGTATGTGCTACTGGGCTGCCCAGGTTGGGAAGGTTTTGCCAGCAGGGAACGTATTTCCAGCAAAGTAATGGGGAACAGTGAAAAAACAAGAAAAGGTTGTGTCACCAAGGCACCAGTATGATGCCCTGTACACAGCCCAGCAACAAATGCTGAATACACAGAAACGACAGGTACAAAGTGCCATGTTTGAACACCAGCTTTCAGTTTATGGTTTCTTAATCTCCGGTTGGTCTAGAACATGCCTTGTTTGTTTGGCAGCTGCCCAACGGGCAGAAGGATCAGGTACCATGGACCTTGGCTGGGTTCTGCAGCCTGGTCCTACAGCATGTGAGCAGGAGGGACCCACACATTGAGCATCAGCCCCTGCATTGCATGAAGGGGCTGGGAGCGAGACAGAAACATCCAGGTCAGCCAAGAGCTGCTGCAAAGGGCTGTTTTGGCTTCACCTAAGAGCAGCAACACCACTGCAAAGCCTAACAGAGGTGGAAATGTCCATGTGTCGGGAGAGCAGCACTGCACAGATGGCTTCTGCCTCCTTCCCAGCATCCCAAGGGGATGTTCCTACCCATCAGCATGCTCGTAAGGCTGGCAGAGCCAATTAGCCCAAGTTAATTAACAAGCAGCCCCACAGTGCTTGGAGCTGTAGGGTACATGGCAAAAGGATGACAGCAGGAGGATGCCCCAGCTAAGAGCCAACTGTGCACCCACGTACCAAGAGCCAGCCCTCGCCCCAGGGGGCTACAACCCCAAGGTTTTATAACAGTACATGAGACAAAGAGAAGGCAGAGGTAGGGGAAGTGTCCCCACTGACAACGCAGGTATCATCAGAGCTGAGACCAGACTCACCTCTCCTCAATTTTGGTGTCTCAGCCAGGCCCCAGGTATACACCTCCGGGTGCATAACACGGGAAGATTGCCAAATGAGGTATTTCCTTGCACAGTTTTTTGGTTTTTTTTTTTTTAAACCTTTCTCACAACTGGTGAGAAACCTTTTTTTTTTAATTATTTACTGATTTTTCTTTATTTCTTGTCTTGTTGGCAGTGACCACAAGAGGCAGCCAGGAAGTTTCCACAGCTCTCCTGGGAATGTGGAAGCTGCAGTGTAAGTCACCGTGTTTTACAGCCCTACACTTATCAGGATGCCCAGTCCAGGTGTTTGGCTTTACCCTCCACCACCAGGTCTCAGGCTGCTTTTCCACCCATGTGCCCTTGGGGCTACCTCCTTCAAGAATTTCCTTGATGCATCTCCAGATAAGAGCCTGTAACAAGCATTAGTTGGATACTGCAGATATATGTAAGGAAGGGCAGCAGTAACCAACACCCTCCTTTATTTGCTCTGGGATTTTTAATTGCTAATTCTAAGCCTGTTCAATCCAGCCTGTAAAGCTTGGCTGAGGGCTTTGTCACCATTCAATATCTGCCACTTGTTCGGTGCATGCCTGGGTGCGTCACTCAGGGACAACACCCAGGGAACCCAGTGGGAAATGGGTGCAAGGTCTCCATCACCACTTGTCCCTCCTGCCTCCCGAGCCGGTGGGGCAAACTACTCCTGAATGGTGCTCGTCAAGGAGCAGAGTCTCTGCCAGCACCTGACATTGGATGAGCCAGTGCACATTACCAGCACATGGCCGGGGGGAAAGCTTTGGGATGATAAGGGGTGGAGGGTGATGCTCACCCACCCAGGAAAGTACTGCCAGCCCTGTGCCTGGACCTTCTGGCGTGAGGCTGTATCCAGCTCCACAGAGGAGCAGAGGCCTCCAACGCTCCCCACCACACCCCGGCTCAGTCCAAGCACTGCACTGAGAGGCTCCTGCAGACCCCAGGATCCTGCATTCCCCATGGGGTATTCCTCCTTGCGCATTTTCCCCTCTCTGGTTCATCTGTGGTCTCTGATAGTCACCCAACCCACGCGGCTCCAGGCAGGGCAAGAACCGTTCCCCAGCGGGATCCACGTGGTGAGGCTGTGCACAGTCAAACCCAAACACGTCTGTGCTCGGGTGTGCGCACACGGTGCCTTCAGCATCCTTCACCTCCTCCAGGCAGCTGGCACAGGCGGGCCTGGGCACGGGCAGGACACGGTGACTTCAGTTTCCCCCGTGCACAGGCAGAAGCCATCAGTCAGGCCCAGCTACCAGAGGGGAAAACCTCCCACTTGCAGTGTGTGCCCACAGCAGGCAACCATGGGATTTCTCTTGCCTCCCCATCCCGCCTTCTCCCACGGTGGCCACCCACGAGCCTGCACATCCCAGCACCTCCAGAGCACCAGCTCTAATGGTCTCCAGTGTCCCTTTCCATCCCAGGGACGTAGGTCATTCCATCTTCTGCTGTCCCCAAACCACACTGGCTGGAGCAGAGTCCCCTGCCAGAGCCAGCCTCACCAATGGCAGGATAAGCATGAGGAAGCATCTGTGAGTCCCTGTCCCTTGGAGGCTCAGTCCTGTGCAGCACTGGCAGGGCTGGCCCAAGCCCAGAGCATTATTGACCCAAGACCTTATCTTTCACTGTTGTGTTTTCGTGGTTCTGCACTTGGTCTGTTTGCTTTGGGCTGTGGGGGGTTAAATAGCCACGGGCACAGCATAGCCCAGTGGCTATGGCACAGTGCCCATCCATGCAGGGCACTGGGAACCAGCAGCCCTCTTCCACTCCCTGACCAGTCTTTGCTCCCCAAGTCACCCCACTGACCTGAACAGCCTGCCACCAAAAACCAGCACTCTCCAGCTCTTCCTGCCCTGACACTTGAACCCCAAAACGCTGTGGAAGTGCATGTCAGGAGTCCTCTTTGTCGACCTGGGCATGCTTCCAGGAGTCTGGGCTCCCTTACACCACTTCCCCTGTACGGCACCACAGCCACAGCATCCCCCACTCTGCACCAGGGGAGGCACCAGGGGGAATATCAACCCAAATGATATCAAGTGTTTGCTCATGTGTCTCAATCTTCAAGGGGAAAAAATCCTCCTTCTGTGACCAAATATTAGCAGCATTACTCATACCCAGACTTGGGCTGATCCTGACCGTCACTGCACAGCCCACAATGTCCAACTCAGAAGCTGACACGGCTGCACACCTGGACATCCTGGACATCATGGACACCCTGTTTGTCACCCAGAAGTCTGCTGGTGCTTCTGTATCAGATCTAGCCGGTGGTCAATGGTTCCCTGAGTCCCAGTGTTTTGCTTTTAGATGTCTTTATTAGAGACCTCTTGATTTTCTTAGGTATCAGCAGGGTCTGTTAAAGTATTCACGTCTCTTTTCACTGTCTGTGTATAGGGAAACAGAAAAGGACAAGAGTGTGAATTGAAGGAGCAAGCAGATGAAGAGAAGTAGCACCAAACAAGGGCTCTGCTGTGCTGCCCTTGCAAACCCATCACTGAAAATACAGAGCGCGCTGCGCTATACTGAGCTGCTGGGTGCGTTGTCACCGCTCCAGGCACAAGTACTCAAGGCACCCCCTGAACAGTGGGCACCCTTTTCGCATCCTCTCTTAAGTTCGTCACATTCACCGCTACCCACTGCCATATTCTCAGAGGGCCCAACAGAAGCAATCCGGCAGGAGTGGAGCCGCGGCAAGCTGTCCCGACGGTGGGCGGGTGCAGATCGGCAGGATCCGGCTGACAGGCTGCACCAGTTCCGCAGACCTCACCGAATGGATGTGAAGAGCTGGTTCAACAGGGCTCACAGCTGGAGAGGATGCCTGAGGTGCAGCTGACTCCCCGGCTTGGGGACCTTGTCTGCACAGTGATGCACTCAACTGGAGAGGGAGACAACAAAAGCAGACAGAGGATTTCTTAAGCAAAATCCAGCTGCCTGCTGGATAGAGGCCTCAGGTACATTTTACCTAATCTCACCAAGGTCCCAGGCACTTTCTAAGCTGCACTTTATGAAATACTCAGAAGATCTTGGTTCAAAGAACTACTGGAGCCATGGACAGCTGCAAAGGTCAGGAAAGGACTTTGTGCTTCAGCTGTCAAACCTGTGGTGGCTTAATATGGAAACAAACTTCCCAGCTGACTGAAACTACAAATCTCAGGTGAGAGGAGAGGAGACCAAGACACCCGTACCTCCATCCTCCTGTGATCCTGATGCAGCATTCAGCTGACCATAAAGGCACTTGTGTAGGACGGAAGCATATATAACACCTATCACACAGGCTGTTCAGCTCTTTCCGTTTTCAGTTGTTTAGAACTTTGTGAAAATTCATTTTGTTGTGATTTCCCATCCTGGAGAATCTGCCTCTGAGACAAAGTTTGGTGCTCAGCTCAGCCCTTCTCTCCGCAAACCGGCTGACAGGACAGTGCTGGCACTCAGGCACTTCTCTGCCAGTCAAGACACACTCTGCTAAAT